TAAAGGAAATATATACGTTAATATATGCAACTTGTCATGGAGATCACAGGAGATATTGAATTTTTAACGTTTGTAAATACATATCTGATATTACAGTATTATGTTCAAACTTAGTACATTAAAAACATAGTTACGTGAATTATTTCATGATGTATTTGACACCACCATGGTTCCTAAACATAAACAACCACAACGATGTACATCTTTTATGTTAACTGAACCACCACCTGAAGATTTTCCAGAGTGGGCAATAGTTAATGAGGAAGAAGAAAAACAAGAGGAAGAACGAGAGGAACAAGAGGAAGAACGAGAGGAACGAGAGGAGGAATGAGAGAAACAAGAGGAGAGAGAGGAAGAAAATAAAAAATGGGCTATCGCCTCTCCAAATGAAAAATCTAGAAAGAGACAAAAATAAGTCATATATATATTATTAATATTAGCAAATCATTGCTGCATTGTAACTATAAATACAAAACAAATAAAACCGGTTGCTTTATTTTGACTTTTTTTTTTTTGCTTGCCTTTAGCTAGGGGTATTTCCGTTCACCAGGGTTTGTTTATCTTACTAACTTTGGTTTTGATTTTTTTTGACGTCGTTTGGAGTTGTTGTCATTATTGGAGCTGTCTTTGGTGCGATTCTGTCATCGTCAGTGAGTTTTTGTTGCTTCTGGAGTCGTCATTGTGAGTCTTTTGGCATCTCCAACCTAATTTACCCTTAACACTTACAGTGTATTACCGCAAGTAGGTTTCTTAACGTTTGAATTTCTTGTAAATTAATGAAACATAATTTTTAGTAAGCTTAACAACATACTATGTCACCGAATAGTGAGTAGGTACTATACCAAAATTTTTATAGCAAATCACAATATATATCATGATAATTCTAATAGAAAATAACTCAACCCTAACTGCACATTGTGCGTCATCAGAAAGCAAACAGGTTCTAGAATAGAATTTTATAAAGTAACTCAAATATTACCGGAATAGCAAATAAGGTTTGCTAATTTTTACAGTAATCATGATGATTCCAATGCAGATTAACTTAACTTTAACCATACACACCGTGTGTACCGGTAAGTTTTATAATAAGTCTTTTCAGTAACTCACGGCAATTCCAATGTGAACCAACTCAAGCTTAACAACATACTGTGTCACTAAATAGCAAGTAGGTACTATACCAAATCACAATATATATCATGATAATTCTAATAGAAAATAACTCAACCCTAACTGCACATTGTGCATCATCGGAAAGCGAACAGGTTCTAGAATAGAATTGTTTAAAGTAACTCAAATATTACCAGAATAGCGAATAAGGTTTGCTAATTTTTACAGTAAATATGATGATTCCAATGCAGATTAACTTAACTTTAACTATACACACCGTGTGTACCAGTAAGTTTTATAATAAGTCTTTTCAGTAACTCATGGCAATTCCAATGTGAACCAACTCAAGCTTAACAACATACTGTGCCACTGAATAGCGAATAGGTACTATACCAAAATTTTTATAGCAAATTACAATATATATCATGATAATTCTAATAGAAAATAACTCAATCCTAACTGCACATTGTGCGTCATCGGAAAGTGAACAGGTTCTAGAATAGAATTTTTTAAAGTAACTCAAATATTACCGGAATAGCAAATAAGGTTTGCTAATTTTTACAGTAATCATGATATGCAGATTAACTTAACTTTAACCATACACACCGTGTGTACCAGTAAGTTTTATAATAAGTCTTTTCAGTAACTTACAGCAATTCTAATGTGAACCAACTCAAGCTTAACAACATACTGTGTCACCGAATAGCGAGTAGGTACTATACCAAAATTTTTATAGCAAATCACAATATATATCATAATAATTTTAATAGAAAATAACTTAACCCTAACTGCATATTGTGCATCATTAGAAAGCGAACAGGTTCTAGAATAGAATTGTTTACAGTAACTCAAATATTACCGGAATAGCGAATAAGGTTTGCTAATTTTTACAGTAATCATGATGATTCCAATGCAGATTTACTTAACTTTAACCATACACACCGTGTGTACCAGTAAGTTTTATAATAAGTCTTTTCAGTAACTCATGGCAATTCCAATGTGAACCAACTCAAGCTTAACAACATACTGTATTACTAAATAGCGAGTAGGTACTATACCAAAATTTTTATAGCAAATCATAATATATATCATGATAATTCTAATAGAAAATAACTCAATCCTAACTGCACACTGTGCGTCATCGGAAAGTGAACAGGTTTTAGAATAGAATTTTTTACAGTAACTCAAATATTACCAGAATAGCGAATAAGTTTTGCAAATGAATTTTCAGAAATCACAATAGTTTCAATGGAAGCTCTGTAGCAAACTTTTTACAGTAGCTTATGAAGGGTTGTAATTATCAAATTTATGATATGTAGAACTGGTAATTCATAACGGTTCAATTTTTTAAATGATAATAAAAAATTACAGTTTTATCCATTTATTTTAATAAATCGAAAAAATTATATTAGCTAAAAATCTACAAAATTTAATTATTATTAAAACTATTACTGATCGAAATAAAGCATATTAGACAAGTATCATAGCTTTTTTTGGTCCTGATATGGCACTGATTAATGGCTCAAATCGTGTCATTTCTAGGTTCATATCGGAACTGATATAGCTATTAATAAAATTATAAAAGCTATCAGGTTTCTGATATTTAACCAATAGCTCTATTAGCTCTGATATAAACCGAAAATAACATGATTCGAGCCATTAATCAGTGCAATATCGGGGCTAAAAAAATGCCTGATAGGCTTTATTTCAACTAGTGTATCTAAAATCAGATCTTATTTTAAGCTGTATAAAGTCCGAATTTTAGACATAATATTGGCTATATTGTGTCTAAAAATCAGACTTCATTAAGTATAAAATTTGGATTTTATTAAATCTAGTAGAATTATTAAATCTGAATTTTATACATGATATAGTTGAATGAAGTCTGATTTTTAGACACAATATAGCCAATATTATGTCTAAAATTCGGACTTCATTCGACTATATTATGTATAAAATTCAGACTTAATAATTCTACTGGATTTAATAAAATCCGAATTTTAGACTTAATGAAGTCTGATTTTTAAACACAATATAGCCGATATTATGTGAACTTCAATATTATATCTAAAAATCGAACTTTATTAAACTATATTATGTACAAAATTCAGACTTAATAATTCTACTGGATTTAATAAAATCTGAATTTTAGACTTAATATAGTTGAATGAAGTCTGATTTTTAGACACAATATAGCCAATATTATGTTTAAAATTCAGACTTTAATATTATGTCTAAAAATCGGACTTCATTCGACTATATTATGTCTAAAATTCAGACTTTATAATTCTACTGGATTTAAGAATTCAACATTATTTCATCCCAACTATCAGCTATAATATCAGATACCTGATTCCCCTCTGAATTGTATACAAATTTTGGAGGTTGAATTGAGGTTGAATTGCATGTTTTTGACCAGTGTAAGTTAGTATCAGAATTTTCATAATTGTTATTGTAAATAATTTTATATAGAGCTTACTTGCTATTTTAGTTTGTATCAGAATTATCAACTATTCTAGTAACCATAATATATGATTAGTTTGTATTAGGATTGTCATAATTTCTAATAGTTACTATAAGTAATCCTGTTGCAAAACCTATTTATTATAGTACTTTATAGCAGGTTTATGTATATTTCTTAAGTCATGTAACTAGCTCAGAACAGATTCAGATGAGTCATGTAATCATTCAAAGCTGGCTCAAGCCAGCTTAGCTCAGCTCTTAAGCTGAGCTAATACTATCTCTACAGTAGAATTCATTTTTATAAATAGAATTTTTAGCCAGCCTATATAAAAAACTCTTTAAACTTATATATGTTATTATTGCTTGAATATGTTTGGATGATTCTAAAATCCTGGTTCTTTTGGTATCTAATGTTAATACCTTCATTAATTCATTTAATAAAGCTATTAATTTGAAGTTCATAGTGTTTGCCTCCATGTAATAATATTATTATTATATTATAAAAAACTTATCATAATAGTCCTTTTAGCATATTTCTTTGCATTATAGGTTGGTTAAGAATCTGTTTGACCTTATTCAACATTAGTCTATTTGCACTGTTTTTTTCACCAAGAGCTATTGCTAAAAGATTTTGGTTCAAGTCAAAGTACACCTTGGAATTAAGTATATCAACTAGTTTTTCTATAACTGAATATGTATTAAAATGCTACCAAATAGCAACCAAGCAACTCCTTATTAATATTATTTTCAATATTCCTCACCATCTAATCATTTTACTGCAAATATAAACTTGAACAGCTAGTCTTCCAAGACCTTCTTTGATTCAACTTCTTCAATCTTTTCTTTATATTCAATATTGAAACAAAACTTCTCCAGAGCCTTAATCCACATTTTTATTGCCTTATATGTGGCTTTAACTTTTATATTCTTTTATATATTATAAAAGTTTCAAAAAATTTTTTCTTTTTTTTTTGGGTTTAACAACCTTCTAATGATCTTAATTTTAGATAACCAACAACACTTTAACTTTAGATGATCAACAATCCTTCAACTACATAAACCAGCGACCACAAGCCTTAAGTAGCTTTGTACTTCTAACAACAAAGTATTTCAACAAGAAATTAAAAGGTATTTCTAAGATATTTTTTAAAAAAATTTTTTCACTTAAGAAAGAAGAGATTTAAATACTATGCGGGTAGGATCGGGACCATGATCATAAATTGTCGGATAACACCATTATTGGACAAATTGCCGTTATTCACAAATTTTTGCCCAATAATGTATATATATTTACATCATAATTACATCATCATCCATCAAACTTTCTCATACTACAATTGATTTTTTGAATAATTTTGTATTAATTGTTTTGTCATAACATATTAATGCTGACATGCTATATCGTTACATCTGATCTTCTACATTTACCCACTATAACCTTTAACAGTGGCACATGCTTTACATGAGATAATCAATTTGCTAGCATACTCTTCGCTGATTTTCTTTACCGTCTTTTTTTATTTTTTTACCGATTTGTATTAAGGATTAATGCCGTGATGATGATTACGCTTAATAATTTTGTAACAACAACCATATAATACCACTTTTACTTTATATGTCGTATCAAATTTTAATTATTTAATACAATACATTATCAAAAAATAGAATATAATAATGTTATTACAATTATTATATTTGAGTAATTAATTCAATACGTATTTAATTCGTCATTATGATATTTTCACGTATAGGTTAGCATCA